CCCTGAGGTCCAGTGATCAAAGCCTACTGGTTGTGCAGCACCAGGCTAAAGGTCAAAGGTGACAGATCATCTGCTGCTGTGGCCCCCAGACTCTGGACCTCTCTCCCCCTGAGCCTGAGATCAGTGGACTCAGTGGTCTCCTTTAAAAAGCAGCTGAAGACTCACTTGTTCAAGCTGGCTTTTGTATGACCTTCTTCACCTCTCTCTCTTTATTCTGCTCTCCCCCACCTATTCCACCTTCATCAGGATCCACTGATTTCCCTCTTTCCTGTACACTCTCTCTCTTTCTTAACATTTTTAATCACAATTGTCTATTTTTCCTCATTTTAAATATATTTTTCAACATTTCCTAAATGATTTTTTATATTTTTACATGTTTTGTTTTTGTGAAGCGCCTCGTGATTTTTATCTTGAGAGGCGCTATAGAAATGATACTTTCTTCTTCTTCTTTCTACCATTGAGCAGGGTTGATGGTTTATCCCTTGGGTCCATGTGGCAGGGGTGAGGAGTAAGCACCACCTCACCCCTGCCACTTTGGCCTCAAGGGATAAACCACCAATAAAGACAGTGGGAGGGTTAAGGCGAGGCCGAGGCTCAGGCTGAGGCCTTTCCCCGGAGCTAGCTCTTCGGTCACGTGGGTCTGATGCTCATTAATTATACAGAATTTTAGGCTTTTATTACACTTAAACAGAAGAGTGACAAAAAAATTCACCCCCCTCAGAGTTGTCATGAGTGTAAACTAGATCTATTAAACCTAAAACATGTTTTGGTACCAGGCTGTAAACATGTTTATTTCTGCTGTGAAATTGGTATTTTTAACATGGGAGTCAATGAGGATTTGCTCGCTTCTAACACCAGCCCCTAGTGGATGAGGGTGGAACTGCAATTTTTGGTACTTCCTGTTTTGCTTCATATCCACACCCAAATTATGGGGTCTTGATGCAGAATCTGCTGCAAATCCACACTAGAACAAAGAATGTTTGTGTCATTAGAAAATAAATGGTAAAATGGTAAATGGCCTGTATTTGATATAGCACCTTCTAGAGTCCTAGAACCCCCCAAGGCGCTTTACAACACAATCAGTCATTCACACATTCACACACTGGTGGGGATGAGCTACGATGTAGCCACAGCTGCCCTGGGGCGCACTGACAGAGGCGAGGCTGCCGAGCACTGGCGCCACCAGTCCCTCCGACCACCACCAGCAGGCAAGGTGGGTTAAGTGTCTTGCCCAAGGACACAACGACAGCGACAGACTGAGCGGGACTCGAACCGGCAACCTTCCGATTACGGGGCGAGCACTTAACTCCTGTGCCACCGTCGCCCCATAAACAAAAATAAAACAAAATTGAAAAATGTTGATAGTTTACACAAATAATTTATGTACATAATAAATATTTTTGGGCCTAGGGCTTATCCTTGAGGTACCCCACAACTTATATTCAGTGACTCCAGCCACTGCAGTACAAGGAGACTGCTGTGAGGAGCACACAGCAGTCTCAGTGAGAGAGTAGGAAGCCATGTGCTTCATATCCAAAACTGACTTAAGAACATCACAGATTTCTCTACACATCTTTTGACCTGCCTATGTGCTTAGAGACATCAGTGGTCTTCAGATGGCTGCGTAAACTACAGATATCATGCAGGGGCGCCTCCAGAAAATTTAGATGGGGTGGCCAGACAGGGCCAAAGAAATTTTTGGGGTGGCACACCAAACTGGTCCTTGTGGTAACTCTGGGAGTTTAGCCTGTGGCGATGAATTGGATTGCTCCTTTATTAGTTTTATTAAAAAAAACAGTTTGTATCCAAAACATTTAACTTCATTTTTACAAACACAAACATTTAAGAAAAATACATTTCAGTTATTTCAAATGTTATTTCAAAATTTATTTTAAAATAGCATACTTCTTTTTTTGTGTTTAATTCATCTGTTGCTGTGTTCACAAAAACTATGGAGATAAAAACTTTTTTTAAAAGGGTGAGCAGCAGAAACATATTTATATTTTATATTCAGATTATTTATTTACTCATTAATGATATTATTTTTATTTTGTTTTACAATTGTGTCTTGAATAAATAAGATCAATTTATGGTTTGAGTGAATAGAATACGATTTATTAACGCTGGCTTTTGCTGGGGGGGGATTGATATCATGGTGTGAACAAAAGAGTCAATGGACTGCTTTCGGAACACAAACCTACGGCATTATTAAAAATAACACATTAAGAATTCATCCAAAAGCTGTAGCTGCACGCAAGCACACACACACACACACACACACACACACACACACACATACACACACACACTTATTTTTTGATATTTATATTGGCCTCACTCAAGTTAAATGCTTTTTAGCAATATTTGTCAGATTTTTTGGGGCTTAAACATGTTCAGGCTTGGCCTTCCCTTGAATGTAATGATAATTTGCTCCCAGCAAAGGTCCCTGTCTGGACCAGACTCTGAAAGTCTCTCCCTCTGAGCCTGAGATCAGTGGACTCAGTGGTCTCCTTCAAAAAGCAGCTGAAAACTCACCTTTGGTGTGACCTTCATCATCACCCTCTTCTTATTCTGCTCTTTCTACTATTCCACCTTTCCTGGGATCCACTGATTTCCCCCTTTCCTATGAATTTTCTCCTTCCCTTTCCTTACATTTTAAATCACAATATTTTTTCTCATTTTAAACATATTTTCAATCATTCTTTGAAATGGTTTTACATTTTAATTTTGTTTTTGTGAAGCATCTGTGATTTGTGTCTTGAAAGAAGCTATATAAAAGCTCGTTTTCTTTCTTTCTTTCACAAATAGCTGGGATATGTGGAATATTCATTTGATTATGTGGCACTCTTTGACTTCCATACTTAACAGCGTCTGCCGTTTTATGGCTTTTTTTTAACATTCCGGCTACGTCCATCATCATTTGCGGTGGTTTTACCATCCTTTCTGAATCCACCATGTCCCAAACACGGTGAGAGAGCTTCAGAATTGGCATGTGGAACATTTAAGCTCCAGTAGTCTTACTTTTTTCACATGAAGTACAGACTCTGTTGCTCCGCGCAGCAGCATCACTCTTCTGACTGGATGAGTGAACATTCTTCTTCTGAATCAGAGTCATTACCAGGCAAAGAGTCAACAATGACCTGACCTGTCAGCAATTGCAAGTCTTTCCCAAAAATATTTGCACTACGTGTGCTGCGTTCCGCTCGTCCTCCGGGAGCCTACAGGCGGTTTTCAAACGCTTAAAAACTCAGACACTTTCAATATAAACACACCCATACATGTTGCTTAAGACTACCGAAGACAGACATCTCCACTATCTTCTGTTGTAAAGTAGTAACTTCACGAGGGATCATATTTGCAGCTGTGGCTCGTTGAAGGCGCTTGTTGCAATTTTGCGACTTTGGTGCTTAAAAGGGTTAAATCAATCTTTCTACGTACGAATCGATCCTCGTGAATGTTTACGAGAAAATCGGAGAATCGATTTTTTCAACAAAGCCCTATTTTTATTGTAGAAGTGAAAAACAAAGCACACTTTCAAACTAATTTGATGGGCATTTAAATGTTGTTGTTTATTATTTTTATTAGTGAAATAATGATCAATGTTAGCTGATAAATGAAATGTTCTCTCTCGATGTTTCAAAAATCGGCGTCCACAAACAGCTTTGTTGCTCCTGCTCAACTGAACATGCACGAGGTTTAACAGGCAGCTACTTCAACAGAGTTTAAACACATTTTGTTGTAGAAATTTACTGGTTATTGACTTCATTTTCTAACAGTTCGCACTGTTACGGTTTGGCAATAATTTCAAAGCAAATAAAAAATAAAAAGTATGTGTTCCTTCATTTATTTGATTGATTACTAATGGTGGATCAACTAAAATAATTGATAGCCACAGCCTTAACTTTCATAACATGATAGTACATGAATAAAATATTTCTTGTGCAAGATAAAAATTCACTGGTTACCAGTGTTGGGCAAGTTACTTCAAAACTGTAATGCATTATTTATTACTTGTTACCCTCATTTTAAAGTAATTAATTACATTACAATATTACTGATTTTAAAATGTAAGGCATTACACTACTTTTGCATTACTTTAAGTTACTTTCACCAAAACAACTTCAATACGAATCTGGTCATGTGACGCTCAGTGAGCTCATGACATATATGTGGAAGGTGATGTGGTGTCTGAGCTAGGGTTGCTGTTAAAAACAGTCAGATATAATAACAGTGCTTTAAAATGATTGTTTATTAAATAAAAGCAACAACAATCTGTACTCTCAGCACGCTGCCATCTTAGATTAACTGAGCAGGGAGTGGGGTGGTGGGGGCTCCAAGCCTATATTTGCCTTGGTCCCCAAATGCCTTGATACGGCCCTGGATGTGGGACTGACTTCTGGGGTGATCTGATTCTATCACATGTATGGATATTAAATGCTTATATATTATTGCTTTTCACTGGTAAAAATGTGTATTGGGGATAAATCTACCTACTTTTTTTCTTGATTTTATGTGAATAATTTCCGGCCGTTTCTCTCTCTAACCTTCCTGCATGCTGCATGTTTTCTCCGTCTTCCAGAAAAACTGTAAACTAGATTTCCTACTTTCTAACTAACCAGCCAAAGGGATCTACCGAACACAAACTAAAAACAAACTTAACATGCGCTGCGCTCCAGCAGCAATGAGTTGAAATCACCGGCGCACAGATTATGAACTCAGCTGAAAAGTACATGAAGTACCAGAGAATATGGGCTGATATAAACGATCACAAACGAATGACTTTGTTTTGGTGGAGCGATTTTGTGAATATAACAGCGGCCGCACGCAGGACGCAGCTGGAGTATTTGAGCCGTTACCGCTGCGTCCTCTCTGCTCATAGAATGCCCGCAAAGCTGAGTCCATAAATGACGTCATATATGTAGATACTGGATCTTTTTTCAGGCTTCCCGCAATTTGAATTTTTAGGAAACCAGCATCTTGATTCTGGGTTTTAAAATGTGTTGTAATTACCGTGTTACTGACAATTGTACAGAGTAGATATTACCATTTTCTTTCCCTGTAATGCCTTACATTACCACATTACAGCAAAAAGCAATGCATTACAGTAATTAATTACTTTTGTACCACGTTACTCCCAACACTGGTTGGTTACTACTTACCATTAAAAGACAGGTTGATGGCCTCCAGATAGTTTCCTTGGACAGCAGTAGAGTTAAAACCAACAGGAAACCCATCTGGCACCAAAACAAATACGTCTTATTTACCGAGAAAGGATGATCCGAAGACAACTTGGCCCAGAACTCTTTTACTACCTGCTTCCTTTAACCGCACCAGGACTGGGTACTGGATGAAGAGTTTCTTGATGGTGACCAGCAACGACATCCACTCGTCCCGTCTCTCATTCTGAGCCACGACCCTGGTCAGGAAAGCGTCACCGGTTTGTGTCGAACTCCACCATCCCCCAAACGTTGAAGCTGTTCTTACCTGTAGAAGTCTTCATAAAAACGTCCCTCATGATTCTGTCTAATGGACCCTCGCAGGATCTCTGGGAACTCCTCTGACGATGCAGACAAATATTAAACTCCAGTACTGATTTTAAACATTGCTAGAGAATCTATACTTGTAAAACATCTAAGCTAAAAAAGCTTCATACCCACCTAAAGTTTTTGCATTGTAGAACGTACGTGAAAAAAGCACAACTGTCACCTCATGACTGCAGTTCTTCTCCTGTTTAGCGTCCATGATTGGTTTAAAGAAGGAAGTGATAAGTGTGAGATTGATCATTTTCTTGATTAAACATACTAAACAAAGTACAAGAAAACTAAACCAAACTAAATATGTGTTCAGAGTTTTGCTGACTACTTTAAAATCCTTCAGTCTGTCTGAGAGTGGAGTGAAACTTTGGAACAAACTGTATGAAGAACTAAAGCAATGTCCAGGGAAAGACAGTACAAGCAGATGAATTTCACGAGGTACAAGGAGGGGGGGGGAAGGCCTCCTAGAGCAATGAGCAAAAACTCTAAATGTGTTATTATTGTTAACAATGCTACCGTTTTATTATTAATATTATTAGTAGTAATAGTAGCACTAGTAATTGTAACAGTAGTATTGGTATTAGTATTATTATCATTAATAATGTTATTAATGCCAGTATTATAATTATTATTCTCCTCCTGCATGGTAGTGCGAAGATGTGTCTATATTCATATGAAGTAAATATATAAAAATATGTTTAAAAATATTGTTATTCAAAACTAATGGAGATATGATATATAAGGAAAACATGAATTAAATGAACCTCTATTTAGTGGCTGGATATTGTGAAGGCAAGGAATTAAACAAGTGAGCTTCTTCCTACTCCTTTTGAGAATGTATTTGAATGACAGTGTAATATAGAACATTACTTTTTGGTATTAGAATATATATATATATATATATATATATATATATATATATATATATATATTAGAGCCCTGCACTGAAGCCCGAGGGCCTTCGGGTCGGCCTGGCCCGAAGGCCCTCGGGCCGGGCTTCGGGCCAACGACTGTGTAATTACCTCGGACACGGGCCGGGCGCCTTTATTTTTAATCAAATTCATTAAAAAAAACTGAAACACTTAAACCAGGGGTCGGCAACCTGTTCCCATCAAAGAGCCATTATTACCTGTTTCCCACAGTAAAGAAAACACTGGGAGCCACAGCAGCTGCGGCGTTGTGGGCGGGGCCTACCCTCAGACAGCAGAGAGCTGCTTTAACCAATCACAACAGGTGACAGCAGCCGGTACCGGTCGCTCGTGTACGTCAAAGTTATCTTTCATAAGACGATAATCAATAAAACGATTTATATAAAGTGGATCCAGAAGTTGTAGCCCGTCTCTGCCTACAATATTTAGATATTTTTCACCCTGTTGGTGGTTTTACTGAGCAGGTGCCACTTTTGTCATACGTTTCTTTTTAAAACATGTTTAGACTGTTCAGAATACAAACCCAGGCTCTGTCACGTTTGATTGTTGTAATTAAACTTTGTAGGTGGGGAAGGTCAGAAAAGGATCCGATCATTTTGTTTTTCCCTCATTTACAGTGACGGAGATACCGGAGCAGTGCGTCTGGCTCTGGTGTTAATCAAGTTAAATTATATCTCTTTGCAACAATTTTCACAAGAAAACAGAACAGTTTAAAGCAGGGCTTGTGTTGACCGGATAGTTCCCGTATTTGACCGTTTATTTTGACGGAGAAAGAATAGAAAGAATTACCCCGACGCAAGCAGACGAACTGACATTTTATTTGTTTCGCACATCGCAGATGTAGCTAAATCACTCAAGAAAAGACTCCCATCTGAACATCTGAGCTGGACACTGCTCAGCGTAGCTCACTGTCAGCGTGTACTACATAAGTTCCACAGCGAGCTGAAGATGTGGAGAGGGGCTTGGAGCGCTTCGCAGAACCAGAGCGCATGCGGGAAGCTTAGCTATGTTTTTAACCTTAATCTGATGACAGTTAC